ATCTGTATTAATCTCTATGTGTTCTCTGTTCAACTAATTACATGAGTTCTATTTATAATGATTCTATGACAGGTGTCAGTCTCTAATCAGTATGTTAATATTGTTGAATCATGATTGGCTAAAAGAAATAGTAAATTGCTAAGTGTTATATCTTAATAACGAGTAATACGAGTGAAAATCTTGGAATTAAACATAACTTAAACTAAAGTTAATAAATGAATATATGGTAAATGTATAGAAAAGGCTACGAGGAATATTTATATCATAAGATCTAAAAGAATAGTGCTAAAATAACTAAGCAAAGGGGTAAAAAGTGTGTAGGGCGTAACGAGAGGTACAAATGCTAATGGAAGGAGCTAAGGGGTTTACTTGTGTATTCAAAGCATACCATTATCTAAACTTGTGCGTGATGGTAGCCTTACTGAAATCTTATATCGATATTTTTAATAGCTAATTGATCATTCTTTATCTTGTTTTCATGCGATAAGAAATCTAGTAATTAGAAAACAGGGACCAGTTGCACGAAGCCTGGATAGCGCTATCCGACGGATAAATCTTATCCAGTGGATAAATTTATTGGATAACAGCATCGACTTATACACTGGATAAGGATTTATCCGCTAGATAGCGCTATCCAGGCGTACAACCGGGCCCTGATGTCTAGCTTAGTCTGTAAAAACATTAATTTTCTCTCTCATAACAGTGGCACCAAAGTTATGGAATTCCCTGCCCGCCCTATACCACAACAATATTCAATATTTTTATAGCAATATTATTACATATGTTGATATTATTATTTTATAATTTCAGCCATATAATTTTAGGTTTATTGATATAGATATGTTTTTAGCTAGTTATCTCTTCTAGATATGCTTATAATGGGAACATATAAATTCTACATGTTAGTTGCGCAGTATAAGAAGCATGATAACACTAATAGCGGCTGCGTACGTGACTATCAATGCCCATTAGCACTCAGCAAGGAAAATATCAAAATCGATTCCAAATCCTTCATTCACGGTGTATTTTCTCAAGAGTTATGGGTCACCTACTACGTGATCTGACAACCAAACAACAGCCACTGGCGATGATTCGGCTGATTCGATCTAATCAATCCCATCCCATTTAATTAAGCAGAACAGGAGCAAAATACCTTCAAAATACTTCTTTCTCAGTGTAGTAGGATCAATTTTTTATCAATGAGTACGTGCACCATCTCGCATTAAACACGATCAGTTTTGGAAATCGTGCACGATAGGGGATTTGGTTTCATTTGAAGTATCGTACACGAGTTTTGGAAATCGTGCACGATAGGGGATTTGGTTTCATTCGTAGTATCGTACACAAGTTTTGGAAATCGTGCACGATCAGTTTTGAATATCACGCACGATTACAAACATCGATCACGTTTTGTTTGGATCCTTTTGTTTGGATATTGTTTCCAGTAGAGACCAGTAGATGTTATAGTTCATGGGTCAACAAAATACGTTGTTCCAAGATCGATCAATAGTTTATTTAATCACGTATCGCCCAAGAGCTTAGGGACGGACCATTAGATAGTTGATGGAGGGGGGGAGGGGGGGGGGGG